CCATTAAAATTACATAATAGTTTTCAAAGTGTGGTCCCTAGATCAGCAGCATCAACATCACTAAGGAATGTGCTAGAAATGCAAATTCTTAGGCGTTAGACCTCCCACGCTGGGAACTTTCTAGGTGGGACCCAGCAACCTCTGTTTTACCAGGCCCTCAAGCAGATGCTGGCCCATAGTACAGTTTCAACATCACTGATCCAGAGAGACGAAGGGATGATATCACCCCAAAACAAGAGAGAAAGAGAGAGAGAGAATCTTAAGCAGGCTCCATGCTTACCCCTGAGCCCGATGCAGGGCTGGATCTCGAACCATGAGATCATGACCTGAGCAGAAATCAAGAGTAGGACACTCAATGGACTGAGCCACCCAGGCGCCCCAATCTTAATGGATTAAAAAAAAAAAACCCAGCAAGGAATGAAACACATGACTATTCATGTGGACCATATGTGCATTCAATTATCTTTAGCAAGGTAGCTTTTCTCTATCAAAAGCAAATGTATTGTATGACTGAGAATCAATCCCCAAATCCTACTGTGGAACCTAACACATGTGAGGAAGAAAGGTGATCTTTCTGGGATTTTTAAACTCTTCCAGAGGAAAATGCCTTCGTAAACTACAGGCTGACGCCATCCAAAGCTAGTCACTTTGGCGGATGACACCCTTGCTGTAAGCAGTCTCCTTCTGAATAAAATCAAATGAAAAACTAACCTAATCTATTGACAGCTAACAGCTTACCCAGAAACCTAGCTGCTGGTTATTCTGAACTGTAAGCACCCCTTTCCAACCATACCCACAGATGAAGGATGGACAAATACATGAGGATGTATGATGAGCATACAGGTAGGAACTTTGGGCAGAGGGCAGGTTAGGAACTTTGAATTTTCTGGAGTTAATGAGCTATGGATTAGCAGGTGCAGGAAGGACAATGGAATATGGAGACCAAGTAACAATGCTGTTTCACCTTGAGCTGCTAGAGATAAATGACAATTATAGATGAGACAGGAGAGTGGGGAGGAAGGGAGAAAAGATGGTAGAGAACACAAAGAGTGAGTAATAAGATTCAGGACAGGAAAGAGAGACCGAACAGAATCATTTGGTTTTTCTATTTGTTCCTCAATAAAACATGTCTGACAGAAAACACCCGGGACTTCACAGACCCTGGGTATCACAGGATGTGGCAATGTTTGTGTTTCTTTTTCCAAAAATATGTATTTCTCCTTCCCCAAAAGAATACATGTCCTAGGGCTCAGACTTGGGTATATTTTTTATTTTTTAAAATAGAGAAACACTGAGTATTTTTAAATGCAATATACCATCAAGCAAGAGCCTAGCTTAATTTATACTGGAATCACTCAGGATCTCTTAAAAAAATTATACATATCTTGAAGATGTACTCTAAAAATGCTACTGTGCTTATTGAGAAGTCAGGTATCCCATGGTAACCTCAGTCAGAAGGAAGTCCTGGGCCCAAGGACTGCCAGAGAGAAAAGGAAATGAAAAGAAGATGCCTCCAAGTCCAGCAGGAATGTCCAACCCAACAGAAACCTTTCTGACTCTGGCCTGATACAATGTGACGTTAGGTTATGGCTGCTAGATGAAGAGCTCACATTGGTCTAGTGGTTGCTTTTTGAAAGCCAGGCTCTCCTTTTAGAAATGCCAAAATTAATATGAGAAAAAGACAAAGGAGAGGAAAGGATGTGATAGACCCTGGCAAGAGGCAGAGGGTAGTCAATGGACAGTGGAAAATTAATAAGCAATGGATTTGTCCATCTGTCCATCCAGAAAGTGCCTCAACAGTCTCTGGTGACCTAGATATGAGTGAGAAAAGCAGACCTAGGTCTGCTGTTAGGAGAAATGCAGCGACATCCCTTGGAGCCCCTTGAAGCATGCCTTTGGCACAAGGCAGGCATCCCTATAGCAGAAAATGCCACGTGTCATGGCACAAGTCACTAGGACAGGCATCCCTAGACACCGTCAGGTCACATGGCACTCGAGCTGGAGCCACTGCTAGTGAGGGTGAAGGTCCTTTTCCTGTCTCCATACCCCTGGCATCACACCATGACTGTGCCACAGCTCAGTTTTCTAAGTTAAGACAGAATGCAAAAAATCCTATAAAATCCTATATTCTCTAATAATCTGAGACAAACAAGACACTGCAGCTATTCAAGTGCTAAGGTGGAACCCAGATAATGTAAGTATAGGCACAACACCTCAGAGATATTGCCAGTTCAGGTTCAGTTCCAGACCACCGCAATAGAGCGAATATCACAAGAAAACAAATGGAATGAATTCTTTGGCTTCCCAATGCAAAGAAATGTTATGTCCACACTACATTCAGTCCATTAAGTGTGCGGTAGCATTATGTTAAAAAAAAATAATGGGCATGCCTTAATTTAAAAATATCTTATTGCTAAAAATTGCTAACCATCAACTGAGCTTTCAAGGAATCATAACCGCTGAGCAAAGATTACGATAACAGATCTACAAAGTGAGCAAATGCTAATGGAAAATGATGCCAATTAAACTTGCCCATCACAGGGTTGCCACAAAACCTCAACTTGTGAAAAACAAATTTATCTGCAAAGCACAATAAAGAGAAGCTCAAGAAAAAGAGGTATGCCTGTATCCCTATCGAAAAGGAGTTCATCTCTGAGTTCAGACAGTGACAACAACTGAGTGTGTTTTTCTTACAGAAAATAGTAGGTCCACCCCAAGGCCAGCAACCTGGAGGGTGCTCTTCTCGTCTACCTTGGCCCCAAGCTCTAGACAGGAAGAACAATGAATAGGACTAACATCTTGACACTGGGAGTCACTCTGGCCCCTCTCTACTATAGGAAGTGTCTTTAAACTCAAAATTTCTTTCTTCTTCTTTTTTAATTTTATTATTTTTTTACTTAAATTTTTAAATATTTATTTCTGAGACAAAGATACAGCATGACAGGGGAAGGGCAGAGAAAGGAGGGGACACAAGATCTGAAGCAGGCTCCAGGATCTGAGCTGTCAGTACAGAGCCTGATGTGGGGATTGAACTCACGGAATGCGAGATCATGACCTGAGCTGAAGTCAGACACTTAACCAAATGAGCCACCCAAGTGCTTCCCTCCCTGTTTTTAAAAGATTTTATTTTTAAGTAATTTCTATGCCCAATGCAAGGCTTGAATTCCTAACCCCGAGATCAAGGGTCACACCCTCTGCCAACTGAGCCAGCCAGGTGCCCCTCAAACTCAAAACTTCTAAATCAAGACTCTATTTTCTCATTCTGGATTATACTTATCCCTTAAGTACTTTGGACCAACCACCTTATACTATAATTGGTTTTCCAGTGCTTCCTCTAAGTTTTGCTCCAAAGAGTTAATAAAAGTGTGGCATACTTGGCTCTTCTAAGCCTCAAGCATGATCTAAAGGAAGCTGTGCACAGAGCTTACATCTCATGAGAACAATTCAATCTGATGTCTTGCCAGAAATGATAAACTCTGGCGGCTGGATAAGAAAATCTGAGAGTTCAGATTTCAGATGTAGTTAATATCCAGGCCCGGTGTACCTGCCCCAGAACATCTAAGGCAGCCGCCAACGTGGAAACCTGCTGACCCCAAAAGGGGTCTGGTTTCCACCGCCATGATGCTCCTCCAGCCTCAAAGAACAGAGCACAGCTGTGTGTCTCTCAGAAGAGGAAAAACATTTCTGTGGCCTTGAATTCCTCTAAGATCAGTCAAGAGTCAAATATCCACTTACTCTGTGGTATCCACCTTTCCAGAGGATGCAAAATTATGTACAGATCACATACTTACTAGTCTTATAGTCTGCATTTAAAAAATTAAACTGAGGGACACCTGGGTGGCTTAGTCGGTTAAGCGTCTGACTTTCGCTTAGGTCATGATCTCGCGGTTCGTGGGTTCGAGCCCCGCGTCGGGCTCTGTGCTGACTGCCAGCTCAGAGCCTGGAGCCTATTTCAGAGTCTGTATCTCCCTCTCTCTCTGACCCTCCCCAGCTCATGCTGTCTCTCTCTCTCCTAGAAATAAATAAAAATATTAAAAAAAAAAAATTAAACTGACACCTGCTAGGACCAATACAATGTAATCACAATGGATTCTACCTACAGAAGTCTTGTTTTGGGGGTCTTATCATGTGCAAGGCACATTGGCAAACAGATCTACAACACCTGTTGAGTATGTCCATACTGGACACATGAAAAGGTTATCCTACGTGACACTGGCCCAGTTCTTCCACACAGGCTCAGCCACATACCTGAAACACAAACCCCAAATCTGCCTTTTGCTGGGAAGGGATCTGCTAAAAGTCAAGTGGCCTCATACCTCTGATTCAGCGCACAAACACAAACTCATCTCTCTCAAGTACTGTCTTTTGCTTCTCAATTCTGTTCATAAGTGCTTTAAAAGCTTTTCAGAGATGAACTCCACGATGCCGCCTGCAGCAGAGATGACCTTAGGACTGTACGGTTTGAAAAGAAAAACAAACCAACCAACAAAGGCTGTGTCAGAAACTAGGTGCCCCTCCCGCGGAGAACTGACATGCCAGAAAGAAAACAAAGCCAGCCACCAGGGCCCATTAACACAATGGGAAACCTGTAAAGAAAATGATGTCTGAGTCTGTAGAACAGAAAAGGGCTGATCTCAGTAGAGCCACCTTCGTGAGCGAAAAACCATTTTACTTACCGTTCCATCCCAGAATGCCGGCAACAGTCCCCAGCTGAGGTACTACACCCTCAACAGTTTAAGTCAATTACAGAGCAGCAACCTTACTAGGCGTATAGGCACATCGTATTCATCTAGTTTAACCGTTGCCTCAAATATCTGGGACTCTATATTAATAGGAGACCCACACATTCTTTCGCTATTTTCAGCGTGTTCCTGCAGCTTGGAAAGGGATGGAGCAGACCAGCCGCGCTGTGCAATGTACATACGCAGTTGGGCAGGCACGCGGTTTTCGTCCTGGGCCTCCCTGCGCCGGGCAGACCTCGGCCACCCCGGGGCACTTACCGAAGACTCGCTGTCCCTAATGAGGAAGTCACCCTCGACGCCCCGCTCGTTGAGGGCACACTCGGCCTGGTGCCGCGTCACGTTCCCGTAGTACCACTCTCGACCCGCAAAGCGCCCGCTGCACGCAGGGCCCGCGTAGCTTATCTGCGGTGCGTGCGAGGGGTGCAGGGCGGGCCCGTCGCTTAGGACCACCACGTAGTTTTTGGGGACCAAGCCGACCTGCCCCCGGGCATTTTTGCACTTCCACCACTCGGGGTCGTTCTCGGGCTTCTCGATCACCTCCATGGTCTCCCCCTTCTCGAAGTTGAGCTCCTCCTCGGTGACTGAGCTGAAGGGGTACAGCGTCTGCACCACGTGCAGGACCCGGGCGCCCTGGCCATTGCTCATGGAGGCACCCTTCCGCAGGCTCAGGAAGCTGGGGGACTCTGCGGCCGCTTCGTCCACCTCCTCCAGGACGTAGTTGGAGGGAAACCAGCCGATCTGCCCGTTGTAGCTGCCACGCCACCAGCCGTCGCTGCACTTCTCCATGACAGTGACGCGGGACCCCTTCACCAGGGACAGCTCGTCCTCCCTCTCGGCCACGTAGGCGAACTTGACGAAGGCGGGGATGTTGAGGTCGTAGATGCGGTCGGCACCACCCCCATTGGCTGGGTACTCGGCGTCTGTGCTGGGCGTCGGGGACGCGTCCCGTGCGCTCGTCTTCCTCTTGGTCTTGCCGAGGCCTGTGGAGACACAGCAAAGGCTCTGTGGGCACGGGGCACGGTGTCAGCCAGCACGCACTGGGCATTACTGGCGCTGAGACATGCCTTCCCTGTCCCTATGACACACCGGGGTACATAGCCACTGCCGGAAAAGGTGCTGGACAGCTGTGTTGGGCAGTCAGGGGGCTCCTTTGTAAAAGCTGGAAATTCCTACACCTGTGCTCTCATTCACCTCTAAGAGTACTAGCAGTGCAAAAGAGATCAAAATAGTCGAAAGCTAGAAAGGTGATACTTTCCAGAGAATTTCTGTGCTGCTCAGAGAGAAAAATAAGGCGTAGACAAGAGGTCTTTGGCTTTCTTCTACTGGGCAAGAAGTTGGACTAATAAACTAGGCAAGCAGAGCTGCCTGCCTGGCGGCTATCTGGCTCCTGCTGTGGCCAGCCCATAGTCTCCTCCACTCACTGGACACTCAGGACTCACCCTCCACCCCACCACGGGGCTGCGTGGCAGCACCCTGATGGCAGAAACCAATCTCCTCCCTTCCTTTCTTCTCTTCCTTGCAATTCTGTCCTTTCCAAATGAGAGACTCATTTCCCACATGTTGTGATGAACCACTTAGAAAACATTAGTTGATCTGTTAAGTCTAAGGCAGAATTTTTCAGGTTGTGATTCAAAACCCACTAGCGGATCATAAAATCAATTTAATGGGTTGTGACCAGCTTGTATGTGTGTGTTGAGTGGTTTGGTTTCTTTAAGGGAAGAAGATAGAAAAAAATCTGTGTCAAGCATAGTATCATTGCTTCAGTTACATAAGGGAGTGAGTGCTGAGTTGCAATGTGAAACTGATTTCTTCCTGTGCATGGGGAAAACTGTGTGAAAGCCCTAAGGTAAAAATATTTCAGCCTGGTTAAAACACACAGAGTTCTGGAACCTTCTTGAGAAGTGAGCCTAGGGGAGGAAGTCACATCAGCGCTCAGAGCTGCGGTGTGCCACTAGACTGATAGTCGGGGTCATGTTCCCCAGCTTTTCCTGATAGATGGCTGCCTGCCCACCAGCCCTGCACAACCCTAACTTAGTGTGGAGATTTTCATGGTATGGAAACTTTGGCCATTTGCAGATTTTTCTCCCCAAAATAATACCAAAGCACTTTTATGGATAGCTTGTACCTCTCTCTCATTTTATTCCTTTGACTAGAGTGAAGACAGAATGATCCTAAGAATTTGCTTCTACGCCCTTTCTGAGTGGACAGGAGTTCAAGAGGAACAAAACACTGGCTTGTGGGGGGCACCTGAGTGACTCAGTCGGTTAAGCGTCCAACTTCAGCTTGGGTCATGATGTCACAGTCTGTGAGTTCGAGCCCTGCATCTGGCTCTGTGCTGACAGCTCAGAGCCTGGAGCCTGCTTTGGATTATCTCTCCCTCTCTCTCTGTCCCTGCCCCACTCACTCTCTTTATCCCTCTCTCTCAAAAATAAATAAATATTAAAAAACAAAAACAAAAAGACCCCACTGGCTTGTGACCGTCCTCTGCTGTGAAGTGTTGTGCTCTGCCTCGTAGAGCAGAGTCTTCCTGGCCCCCGGACTAAGACCCCGCTGCCCTGAGACATGTGCCCGTCTCCGTGCCACTAGCTGGTCCTGGCACTCTGAAAGGCACTTGGATAGCACACATGGGGTAACAGCACACTGATGTGAAGTGGTCACTTATAGGCATTTCAAGTGAACACACCAATTCTTGAAACAAATGGCTTCAGTGGGTTTTTTTTTTTTTTTTTTTTTAAATACCACAGCACTTTAAGTATACAGGAGATACGAGAGTAAGCCAGGATATCACACTAAGTTAACATTTTAGATTTCTACTTACAAGTTAACTTACTTTACATGAAAACATGAACCTCTGAATAATCAAATGCATCCTTCTATGTGATTTCAAACCTAGGTTAGTTCAGCTATGCGTGACAGAGCACTGGGTTGATTCACTAGCTTCAGAATCCAGAAAGCAGACAGTTCATGGAAGTACACTTCTGTTCTGAAGGCTCAGGCACCAGGTATTCTAAGCCTCATCAAGGAGTCAGCACGCTGAGGCAGCAATGACCAGGCAGAGGGCAGTTTTTATTGGTAACAAAGACTTCAAGAAATAACATTTACAAGTAACTTTCTAAGAGACCTTTTCAAATTTGTGAGTAATGACAACCACAAGAAAATACCTAAAGAGCAGGGTTTAGAATATTCATTGGCACAGAAAGGTGTCAAGATCAGCAGAAAAGAACATAAGATTTTAGACCTCATAATACACTGTCAGAGATACTTTACAACTGACTTATGAATACACCACTTTGCTGACTCTTTTCAAGCACAAAATAATCACTTTAGCCATCAAGTTTTTACCAGGCACCTTCCTAGACTTTGGGGAGACCAAGAAAAGCAAGATAGGCATGTTTCCTGCCCATATGGAGCTTACATTTTTCTATCAAGACTGGAACATTCCACATGGCAACCACACCATGGAAAATTCACCCGTTTTGCTCTACTGTGATCCAAATAGTCTTTGAGGCAACTGCGGAAAGGGGCGTGGAGTGGGTAGGGGGGTGGATGGCAGCACAGTGGTGGACAGCACAGTCCAGAGGAGAATCCCGAGTTGGCCACTTACGAGCTGGGGCTCTTGGGCAAGTAACTTAATCTGCATCTTCGTTCTCTTACCCATGTAATGTGGACAACAATGGCACTGTATCCGAGTGCCCAGGCTGCCATAACAAAGTACCACACTGGGTGCTGGGGCTGCCATAACAAAGTACCACACTGGGTTGGGGGTTGGGGGAGGGCTCAAACAAGAGAAATTCATATTCTCATAGTTCTGGGGCCAGAAGTGAAAAGATTAAGGTGTCCTATGGGGCTGGTTCCTTCTGAGGCCTCCCTCTCTGCTTACCTTGCAGATGGCTGCCTTCTTACTGTGTCTTTGCACGGGCTTGGGTTTCCCTTTGTCATATGTCTGTGTCCCAATTCCCTCTTCTTACAAGGACACCAGTCACACTGGATTAGGGCCCACCCTTAAGACCTCATTTTACCTCAATTGCCTCTTGAAAGGCCCTATACCAAATCCAGTTACTGGGGGTTAAGACTTCAATATATGAATTGAAGGACATAATTTAGCCCTCAACAGGTAGCTAAATTCAGATTGTAATATAAAGCACAGGAAGTGCCCTACTAGAATAAGAATTGGTATTCTTACTGAGTTGGGGCTTTGAATTTCTTTTTTCCCTAGAAAGGTATTTTACCAGGAGAGGGCCAAAGTCCTCTCTGAACACTTTTGGCAACAACCTTACCAGGGCCAGATGGCCACTAAGACAGAAAACTTGCCGGTCAAACTTTTGGCACCCGGGAAACATTATTCCATGGGAGTAATGTCATATGTAGCTGCTGATGCAGTGAAATTCAAGAGACAGGTGTCTGGGAATAGGGAGGAACCTGACCTTACTGATACCTACGTTATTGGGACACTCACAACAGTCCTGTAACAAGGTGAGCACCCCTGTCTGTAGATGGGGAAACTGAGGTGGAAAGAGATCAGGGAACTGGCCAAACATATACAGCCAGTGTAGTGACAGAGACTTGCGCACCAGTAAAAACCTATTTAATCCATAATGTCAAGAGGCACACTTCTGTTAAGAGGCTGATACATATGTAGCAGGATTTCCCTGGCAAATGCATCACCATCTGTACATGATTTCTATGGGAAATGCAGCAGAACTATGAAGTGGGGTGTCGAAAATCTACCCTCACTTTCCATACCAACCCTTCAAGGAAGTAAAGAACCCTTCCTCTGATTCCAGGGAATGGAAATGACCAGTGTCTCCAGGCTGAAGTGGGGCTAAGGTTTAGGGAATGAAGATTTGGGATAAGAAATGTATCACAAGTAACCATGAGGCCATGTGACCACTGCCATGTGACCTCAAAGGCTCAAAGGGAAATTTCTGAATGCAGAACAGGCAGCGTGGTTCACGGACATCTCCCAAAGGATGGCTCTGCAGCTGTGCCCGCCAGCCCCAAGCCCTGGGCCACCCCGTGGCCACCCGATGTTTCTGTCTAATTCTAACGCAAGTCTGCTACCTTTTAGGGAAGGAGATGATGGGCATTCCTCAGCTCCCCCACTTTTCCTGTGGCTAATTTTTCAATACATCTTCTGCTTCATTTCTTTTTCTTCCATTATAGTCATACCACCTACTTCTCCCCGTTATAGCAAAAACACCTTGAACTCCAATGTGTGGTTTTGATTTTCCAACAAAGATAATGTGATTTTTTTCTCCCCTCTTACAATTTTACTGATTTTCCCAGCAGGACAGGCAAATCCTCACACTCTTTTGCAAAGCCTCTGGCAATCTTTGCCTACTGTAAGTAAACAGCAACCAAATGTTAAGAGGGCTTCTCCTCGCACCCTGTCTGTACCATACCTTGGAAGAACACACTTTCCCATGTTATGCCCCCCTTGGCCCCATTATGAATTCCTGGGGCAGCATGGGCTGTGGACCGGAAGAAGAATCAAGGAGCACTGCTCCCAGCCCGGCTACACCCTTTCACAGCACCCGGCTACGTGCAGGTCACCAGGCAGACCCCACCACCCTGGACTTCCAAGGCATAGAGGAGGACAGGTTTCAGCAAGATTTGGCAGGACCTCAAATGATATGCTTTTCCTCCAGTTCTCCAGTTAATCATAAAATCCAACTGCACAGAATTTATTTGGTGCTTGAGCGTTTGGGTTGGAGGTTTTGCTGCAGCACCGTGCTCTGCGTGAATCGTATTACGGATGGGAATAACTAGAATGGGACCTCAGAAAATCTCTGCGATTGCTGGCATGCTGTATCAGGTGGCGTTAAGTAACATTTTTTTGCAAGGTAATGACTTTCTCTACAGCTTGTTCAATAATGTATAAACTGCAACACCTTTGTGCTAAGAACAAAGAATGAATGGAAATCGTTGTTAAAAAAAAAAAAAAAAGACATGGGCACCTGGGTGGCTCACTTGGTTAGGC